TGGCTACGTCCAAATTGCGAACAAAAATTAAGCCAATTAAGAAAAAAGTGTTCGCAATTTGGAACACAGAAAATCACGTTGATCTTATTTTTATTGCGTTTCCAAATTGCGAACACTTTTTATAATTAAGTAATATAGTTTTAATTCTTTTTATTTGACAAGTCAATACGAATTTGTCATTTGAATATATAATAATAAATGAGAATAATGATGAACGAAAATAAAAAATAATATAATAATTTTTTTCCTGTTTTTAAATATTTTTATTATTTGTAAGAAAATACAATAATAACAAGAAAAAAAAAATTATTATATTATTATTTATTTTCGTTCATCATTATTCTCATTTATTATTATATATTCAAATGGCAAATTTGTGTTGACTTATCAAATAAAAAGAAATGATACCATTCTTATTCTCAAACTTCTATATTTATATTATTAATAAAATTGAACTCATAATCAGCTATTGCAATAACTAATTAATCAAAGTGTTCGCAATTTGGAAACGCAATAAAAATAAGATCAACGTTATTTTTGTGTTCCAAATTGCGAACACTTTTTTCTTAATTGGCTTAATTTTTGTTCGTAATTTGGAAGCTACGGTCACGATGCCTACTATGAACAGCAAATAAGATATTTTATTCCCTTTATTTTGCTTTAATCTTGAAGAAAATGTCTGCCATTTTTCAGTGATAAATGCTCGCGAGATCATTTTAATCATGCTAATAAACTTCTAAATAGTCGATGTTATGAAATTTGAAGAGTAGATTAATATCAATAGTCAGCTATCTAACCTACATGTAAAAAGTCTTGGTACAAAAGTTTTGTTCGATTTTCGATCACTTGAGGGTCGCAGGACAAACTCAAAAGTAGTCAGTTAGAAAGGGAATTTCATACTCTTTCTAAATATATATTCAGAATTTTATTTTGACTTAAACTTGATTCATTAGGAGCAGATATTTGATGGAAACCAAAAAACGATGTTTGTACAAAATATTCCATGCAGACCATTTTTGTATTTTGGTTAAAAGTGCTTCAGTTCAAATTAAACGAAAGAGATTTTATACACTAGTTTGCAGAATGAAGCTTACTCTACAAAATTCTCAATTTACTTTGTTTCTAACATATCATTGCAAACCATCAGCTTTTCTTGAACGTCAAGCAGCTCAATACGAAATAAACGATTATTTTGAAAAATGTTATTTCATGGAAAGAGTAGCATTCCGAAAAATATTTGTAACTTTTGATCCTTTTGAGTTCTAGTTTATTGTAACTCATAGTTTTGTAGAATATGTAATTCTCTTCAACAGTAAGAAGTAAAAATTATCCTATAATACCTTTTAGCGGTGCTTCGAACGAGAGGAAAATAAGTGCGTTTTACATGCTGCAAACGAGATTTTTATTTATCAGGTATTTGCTTACAGCTGACTAGCTAAGAGTCAGAGCAAAATCCTAAAGATATATTTAGAAAGACCATCGAATTCTGATTCTAACTGACTACTTTAGATTCGTTTCGATTACATTTGAATGATCGAAAAATCAACAAACATAATTATCATTACTTTTGAAACTAGCGTTTTTTACAAACGTCTCTTTCGGTCCCCATCAACTATCTGCTCCGAATGAATCAAGTTCAAGTCAGAATAAAATTCTAAATATATATTTAGAAAGAGCATGAAATTCTCTTTCTAGCTGACTACTTTTGAGTCTGCCTGCGGCCTTCAAATGGTCGAAAATCGAACAAAACTTTCGTACCAAGACTTTTTACACGTATAGGTTATTCGAAAATGAAAAACGTGAAGACGATAAATACCGGGTGTTGCAAAAGTTTTGCGACATTTTTTGTTTTGCATGTAACTCTGTTCAGAAACATGACCATAAATTGATCTTTTTCTCAAAAGATGCGCCATCAAATTCTCTACAAACTTCTATTCGTCTTAGTTTATAACAATAGAATTGAACTTCTTTTATAGGTCGCATATTATGATTATGTGAAATGAGCCTACTTCCCACACGTTTTTCAGTAATTTATTCTTTTTATAGAAGTGAATATTTGATTCTTAGAACATTATATAACACTAGATAGCTCTTGAAATCCTCTGTTGATTGCTTATATATACGAAGTTTTTCAATGCTCATTCCTTTGGTTTGACGCACGACCATATTTTGAAAAAAGCGCAATTTTCATGTCTGTTTTTTCTTTTCAAAGAAAGCACTCTAGAAATGTCATCTATGACTGAATCGTTTTTATTTTTGCAGTATTTTGTAGAAAATTGATTTCTCTTTCTATGTAGAGTTCAGACAACGCTCGAAAACCAATTCAGCCGGAGGAAAGATCCGAATAGCATCAAGAAGACTGTTTTCGTTATGGTAGCTCAGACAGATTATAGTTTTTTGACAAACATAGATGGCGATCAAGCGCTTACAAATAATTCTGAAAGAGCATTCGATATACATTCAAATTACAAATAGAAAGTCTCTCACGTGCCTGTTTATAACTTCGAAAAGATTGTTGGAAAAGCAGAAAAAAAGTGTGTGGGAAGTAGGCTCATTTCACATAATCATAATATGCGACCTATAAAAGAAGTTCAGTTCTATTGTTCTAAACTAAGACGAATAGAAGTTTGTAGAGAATTTGATGGCGCATCTTTTGAGAAAAAGATCAATTTATGGTCATGTTTCTGAACAGAGTTACATGCAAAATAAAAAATGTCGCAAAACTTTTGCAACACCCGGTATATATATTAACAGAGATGAAACATGTTTTATGTTTTTTTTATTTAACAAAATATCTGTAAATTTGGAAAATATTGACAAAAATCTGCTGCTAAGTTTTCATCGAATAGAAAAAGATGTTTAATTTTGGTCGAATTAATTCTTGTTTGGTCTCTTGCATAATTATTTGTTACTCTTAGAAGAGAATCATATCTAATTCTTAAAGAAATATAATTTGACAAGTGTTTTCGAATGAAAAAGAAATTGTTCAATGTAATAATCATGAACATCAATATAAGATTTAATTCAGTTAAATAAGGATATTCAATGATTGATAATTGTTCATGATCGTCATTTGAGGAATTTTGTGATACAAATTTTTCAATAATTAATTGTTCAAGAAATGGAAATGATTTAGAAGTTTTCATCAAAAAATCATGTTGAAAAGGACGTTCATCGAATAATGATACTCGACGAACACATTTGAACAATCCACCAGAAAAATTGTAATATTTTCATATATTTTCATTGTACACAGATATGAATAAAAATGACATTAACCTATGTTTTTATTTGAAAAATAATCAGCAGAAGAAATAACTTATGTGTTTTTATATGTTTTTAATGTATATTGAATATGTTCATTTGATGGTATATCGATTTGATCATGATCATTAAAATATATAACTGATTGAATATTAAATTTAAAGCTATTTAATCTTTTCGTATGATTAAGAATATCATTATTTGTTTCCTTCAATAAAAACCTTATCCTCGATTGTTAAATATAAAGCGAGTTGTTTCAAATTGGTTATTCAAAGTAATAGTGGTACAACCGATTCATGGTAAAAAAAACGTTTTGTTTTTACTGGTTAACGAAAAACATTTCAAAATATCCAATTTTTCCTATATAAGAAATATTTTCATAAATTTAAATAAAAAATTGAAACTTACTTTCATATTAATCTTTGGTGACACACGAAAAATATTTGCAATATCCATAGAGACACTACGAAGCTGATTGAATCGTCCATCAAGTAAATAAAGACAATCAGTCAAATTGAGTACATTAATATGCAATTCGAGAAGAGTAGAAGAAGAAAATATTGGAATTTCATCATAAAATGATAAATGACGAAGATTCATATCAGATGATTAAAAGAATCGAAAATAAATTAGATTAGAAAATATTGTAAAAATATTTCGAAACATAAATCTTGTTATATTAGTATGTGTATATGAATTTCTATGATTAGCAATCGAAATAAAAACTTTCGTCATTTGATTTTTGAACTTCTGAGCCGATGAATCTTTCTTCAAATGAATGAATAGATTTTATTGCCATTCTATCAAATGATTTAGTTTTTTCCTCTTTTAATAACTCACAGAAACAAATTAATTTATGTTTTTCTTATTTGATATTTTAATCAAAGCTCAATATATATCTTACCGTCAAATTGTCGTTCAAGCTCTTCCAATCGGATACTGACTAATTCGAGTTTATGCAAATCCGAATAATTGTCGACAAGAAAAACTCGTTCCATTGACAATGTTTCGACAGTAAGTTCTTCAATTTTATGATGAATTTTAGATAAAATTGCTACACAGAATCGATCTAACATTTCATCAGTTAATGAATAGATATGCATATTAGATGAACTTCTTATTAATGTTAAACAACGTGTAAATATTGAATCATATAAAATTCTATCGAGATTTCTATTTATACCAAATAGTGAGTAAAGTACGTCAATATTATGACAAGTCATTCGTTCGGTAAATCGATCAATTTAATACAACAATTAGCCATCTTTTCTATGAATAAAGCATTTTTCTTCACATATATATATATAAATCAAAAGTAAACCTGAATGTTTTGTGAATTTTGTATCTGAATGAGTGTTGACCAATTGATTTATTAAATTTATATTTAAATATTATTTTTTGAATGACTGGTTGTTTTGTCTAATAAACATTTTACAATTTTGAAACGTTTTTCTTGAAATTGTTTTGATGATATAAAACTAGGTAATTGTTGTTTTTCAATTATTTCGATCATTTTCCATAATAAATGCTTGCCATCATGATTGATCATCTCGATTAACAATATGTAATATAGCATCTTTTTCAAAAGAAAGATCTGTTTTTTCGACATGAAATATTCATTTTATCATATGGATCATATGAAAATAAAGCTCGAGCATGTATTGATGAACAATCATCTAAATAAAAAGGAAAAGAAAATATTTATTTGAAAAAAAAGAATAAATAAAGAGAAAACCTCAATTATTCATTTCATGATTTGTTTCATCTGAAGTTGGTAAAAGAAGAAATGAAATGGATCCATGGAGTGAATCAATTAATTGAAAAATTTCATCAAGTGTACGATATTTGGATTGCATATGAATATTATTTATTTCAAGTAATGGATCACCAATTGAAAAAAGTCCTTATGCAATACTTCCATAAACAATTCGAACTATCGATATTCGATGATCATTATCAGATAAACGACAAATTATTGCACCTTATGGTTCATCTTGATGTTTTTCTAAACGAATAATTTCTAAAGACTAACATTATGTTCAGTTGATTTTGATGTATAATTTGAATTTTCTTTTTTTTTTATCAATTAATTTCGTTGAACATTACATTGATATTGTACAAGTTTGTTCATCTTTATCTGAATACTATTTTCAGACAACAACATTTAATAAACACAAAAAAACAAAAACGACAATAATTAAAACTTACATGATCTTTTTTTAACGAGTTTTCGTCATCAGATAAATGAAATTTTACATTTGACAAAGTTCTTTTTCTTGATAATGATCTTCAATAATTAAATCGTATGAACATATAAATAAATGAAAATATGTATCTTCAAATATTGCGATTAATTCTTCTAATTCATTTAATGATATTTTACAATATTCTTCATTAAATTGATTAAAAAAATCTCAAAAGAAATTTTCTCTTCATTATTTCAACAACTATTCAGCATTAATGCATAAAGTTCAAGATTTTTTTCAAATTGTTGTGATTCGATGATTGAATTTAACAATGTGCAATCGGCAAGAAAAGACGATACTCATGAAGAATTCTTTTTATAGTTAATATCAACATGGTTTCCCGATGACGATAAAGGTGAACTCAATGGAACAACAGACATTTTCTCTTTTCTTTTTCTTTTGACATAAAGTAACATTTTCAAACATAATATCATCACTAAATATTCGATTATGTCTCTCACTGTTTCATATTCACTAATTTAATCGCTTTCAATTATCCAAGTAATATTTGATAACTTCATTTCAACTTATTTTAGAGGAACATCGTCTCAACCTTCCCCTCTTTCCGAACGTGAAAATCAAAACTTTTTCGTTTTTTTTGTTTTTCATCACTGTTATGGACAGAAGTGTCCTCTGTCAAATGCGAAATTAACGAGAGGTCTTCGCTGTTAATTAGTACTTTTATTAAACTCAACTTCGAAAATTTCTAGCAGAAAAACTCGCGCTGCAATTATTCTATTCTAAACGACATTCTTCGAATGATAATAATAATTTCTCATTCGAATGGTACTTAGAACATGGGTCATGGACTCCTCACACCACTGAATACGACGAGTTTTTGATCACTTTAGTTAGAGAAAAGAAGTCGTGACACATAAACGCAAATTTGTTTTTCATTCTTCTCAAAACTAGTTTTTTCAGAAAAGTGTACAGAATAATCCGCGTTTCTCAGGCACTGTATATTCTGTCGAACTGAAACTTTTTCTACAAGTATTAGATAGCGTTTCGACTGACTAGTTTTCTTTTTGTTTTGAAAAATATTGCATCGTTGATTTTTGGCAAAATTTGCAGAAAAAGCTCTAGTAAAAATGACTGAGTTTTTGGAAGTGTATGCTCCGTATTATGATCTTCTTTTTTCCGAATGAAAGGACATAAAAAGAAACGAAAAAAGTAATCCCCCTTCAAAATGTATATAGTATCTGTAAAAAAAGTTTCAGCTCTATCGAACGCATTTGGAAATTTTGTTTCTATGACAACTTTTGGTCCACTCATCGAGATCTATCTATCCTAAAAGTTTCAAATTCTTCTGATACGTTGTTTCTCAAAAGTAGCGGAAAGGAAAGGGAGCAGGCGATATCCTCTTAAGTTGAACTATATAAATAAGATGAAATGAACTGGTGAAAACTTGACTAGTAGCATAAATATAAAACATTGAACAGGGGAGCTCTCTTAAAAAGAATTGATCATCAGCTATTTTATTTGATTCTTACGAATCATTGATTTGTAACTTTTCACTAAACTATTTCCAATATCTCAAATCTTGATAGTGTTTTACATTGCAGCTTTAACCAATAGGTACATAATTTCCGTGAAAAACATAAAATTCTTTTAAAATAAAAATAGAAAAATAAATTTTTGTGAAAATTTCTAAGATCGCGGGACCGTTGACTTTTGTTTATGATGGCGGGTCCAATAAAAAAAAGGTATATTCTCGGTTCATCGACAAATTTGTCAATGAAGAATTTTCGAATATTAATGAAAAAACCTTCTATTGGAGAAAGGAATTGTGTAGACCGTAGTGACGGTATTGAACAATTTTACAATGAATGCTACCATTAACATAAAGGGCATATAAACGGGTGACCGATCACTTCGTCGCAGAACAATTCGTCGCGTTCTGTTTGTCGTAAAATTTTTTTTCGTTCTGTTTGTCGCAGATAAATATCTTTCGCTATACTCATCAGTGTCTATTCGTTGCATCTCTTTTAATTAATTCTTTTTTTTTTGAAAGATATAAAATTGATGAGTTAATGATTGTTTATTTTGTACATAATACATAATATAATGATGAACAAATTGAGAAAAAAAAAGAAAAAACCAAACAAGAAAAGAAAATAATCTAAAGAAAAAAAAATAATTTAAAGAAAAAGAATATCTAAAGAGGAGTCTATGGATTTTTTTAATTCAAATTGAATTTTGAAAAAAAAATAACAGCCCATTTTTACCAAGGCAGAGGAACTAAGGGGACTAAGAAATTCTTTAAATTCAGAAAGGAAGAATTCTTTGGTATCTTCTCTCCTGTTCCTTATAAGAAAGGCTACTATGGATACATACATAACATATATAGAATTCAGTCGACATATGGTATATCTGTAGTACCTTTTTTGAGGCTGGGCTAGGAGGACTAAGGGGACTAACTAAGCGGCCTAAGGGTAGGAATAATGGTGTACACAGAGACGTGCATGGGTCGCGACTCTTCGGGGGGCGCTTCGCGCCCCCGCGCCGCGACGCTGAAATAAAAAGTGTGTTAGGTGGGGAAACACGCTTCCCCACTGAATAATCCGCTAAGTCCCCTTAGTCTCCTTAGTCCCCTTAGTCTCCTTAGTCCCCTTAGTCTCCTTAGTCTCCTTAGTCCCATTAGTTAGTCAGCTTAGTCCCCTTAGTCCCCTTAGTCTCCTTAGTCTCCTTAGTCCCATTAGTTAGTCAGCTTAGTCCCCTTAGTCCCCTTAGCTCCCTATTTCAATTTGAAATCAAGTGCTCTTTTTTCTTTTTACATTCAGATTGAATTTAAATAACCCATTGTATGCTAAAGAGTAACGTTGGCTGCCATATTTTTTAAGAATTGATCCAGTTGAGGTGCGTCGAATCCGTTGACCAGTCGAGTAATACCTTCGTCCAATCTTCGGTAGCAGGCCTTCTTCACCTTGATATCGTGACCTTGGAGAATCTCTGCCATGTCCATTTCAAATTTTGATTTTTCACGACGAATTTTTTCTGCCAGCTTCACTATATTTGGATGACTTATTGCGACACGATTAGCGAATGCATTGTGCCAGCCTTCTACCGAATTATTGGATCGCGGTGCCGTAGCGATGACACCATCATAAACATTCCATAATTTATAATCGAATTGGGGCTTCTTTCGACCAGTTTCTTAGAAAGTCGAGTATATTTAGAGTTTCTCGAGAATAGAGAAAAAAATTACCTCTTCTTTTTTTTCACCAATCCATGTTTTTTCAAAATAATCGAGTAAATCGTCGGCGTCATCGTCGAATTGATCACAAATTAAGTCGAAGCCAGTTATAACTTGATCTAAACCCCCTCCCATATTAGAAGCCCCCCCAGGGCTTCTATTAGGCCTTGCAAACTTTGGCCGGGTTTTGCTGGGAAAAATTGGAAATTTTGCTGGATAGATCCTTTAAAGGGGGCTTCTAATAGGGGGAGGGCTTCTAATATGGGAGGGGCTTCTATTACGGGGAGAGGTTTAGTGGAACAAAACCAAGAGCAATCAATTTTTTACATTTCAACGAAAATACTCATCCTCATTATACTTAGTTGTTAATCCTTTGCTTTGAACTTGTCGCCATACCGCTTGTGAAAAATGAAAGAGACAACCTAGAAAAAAACGTTTTAATTACTTTTTTTGTGAATAGATTAAAACGTACCTTTGTGTAAAACGTTTGGCAACATGTCTTTCACTGATTTTATTGTGCCAGTTTCGAAATCAGTCATAATTGATTCAAGTTGGAAGTTGTCTTGCGCTAACACTTTTTCGAAGAATAAATTGTAATCTTGAGGGCTTTTACCAATTAATAACGCATAGACGAGAGGAATAATAGCATTGGTCATCATCGCATGTAATGTGAAGAGTTGATAATAATCGTTGGAACACACCTACATGAAAGAAAGTTAGAAAAGAAAAAGAGACATATTTAATTGATAGTTTACTTTGAATGTTCCATCAGCGAACCAATGTTTGTTTTGCTTGAGAATAGATAAATTAGTTTTTGTTGTAAATATAATTAAATTCTTGTCTTCGTGCAAGATGAAATCTTCATAACAATAGGTTTTTCTTAATTTTTCTGGTAAACGACCATCGACGTCGACTGTTTCAACAGTACATTGTCTTCGAATCATTAGCATAAGTGCTTCATTGCTTGGAAGTTCACCAGCGGCACTTAGTGGATATGTACGTAAGGCCGAATGAAGAATTGAGCTGGTTGGTTCATCTGTTATCACAGCACAAACTTTCATATCATTTTTTAATTGGATAGCTGGAACACGATCGGATTGTGGAGTATGGGAATGTGATGTTGGTTGTGCGAGAAATGCGCCCATGGATAAATTGGTATGACAACGAGCTTAATTGATAAATGATTTTCATTTGAATTAATTGATTGATATTCAAAGTGAACTTACCTTTACAATCTCGATTCTGACATCGAAATATCAATTTCGTGTTTGTTGTACGCTCTACAGTATAGATATAACCTTCATGGAGGATCATTGATTTTCCTTTTACAGAAAAGAGTTTTTCGATTTGAGACATTTTTCTTGAAAAATACTGTGCAGTGAAAGTTGAAATTAAGAAGTGAAATGAATTTTTTTATTTGACCTGGTTCCATAATTAAGGACATTGGATCAGTGTTATCTTTAGTTTAGATTATGTTGCAATTCATTAACCAAGTGACAAATCTAATTATTCTTCGTTCGCTTTAGCTCTATCATGACTGCATTAGAATAATATTTTTATATTGATCCGTTTTCCCAATTAATTATCTATCGTTATTGTACATATCACTTTCGCAATTTATTATTTATTTTATATTATTTCCATTGATTACAGAAAAAAAAGAATTTATTAAGAGAGATGCAATAAGTAGATAGCGACGAACAGAACGAAAGAAATTTATCTGTGACGAACAGAACGCGACAAATTGTTCTGCGATGAAGTGATTGCGACGAAGTGTCGTGCGACGAATTGTACTAGTGCTGCTGCTGTTTTCTTTGTCTCCAAAAACATATATCGGCTTCCTCAAGCGTAAGACAATGACAGTTTGGCTACAGTATTTTTAACCTTTGTCAGTAATATTGTTAGCTAGAATGTTTCTTTTTGCGTTGGAAGATACATCTCTTTCTTCTTCATAACCTCCGAAAATCGGAGCTCGCTTGAGTAAATCATTAAAAAATTATGGAAAAGTTAAATGGCGTAACACGATGATGAACAAAGGACAAAAAGTTGAGAACAGTATGTTTGCTCTGTATCTTTCTGCGAATATTGGCTTTTTAGAATGCAATATTCTAAAGACTTTTTGCAGCAAACAGTGTGAAGTGTTCAACGATGAAAAATATTTTTCAATTTAACTTCTTATTTTGAGAATAAATCGTTACTATCAATGTAACACGATGATACACTTGTAACGGGATGGCACTTACTTTTACTATCAAGTTTTTCCTATGCCATCTTTTGCTACAAGTACAACTGTAAACTCAACATAATATTCGCTTTCAATCTATATCATAAAGAGGTGTTAAATATCACGCTTATTAATAGTTTCAGTATAGAAATGATGAGAAAAAAGTTAATTAAATACACCGGGTTGTCCAAGCATAAGGTCATGACGTTTTGGCCACAGTTTTGCTAATTTTTCTCAGCAATGAGATTACGCAGAAGGTTCGTTCATTCGTTGGAAGATGTACCTCTGTCTTCTCAAAACCTCTGAAAATATGAGCCCGTTTGAAGGAGTCGTTTCAAAATAATAGCAAAAATAGATGAGATAACAAGATGACGAAAAATGGACAACAATTTGAGGGTGATATGGTTGTTGTTTATTTTTCTGCGAATGTTGTACGGTATTAAAAGAAACATTCTACAGATGTTTTGTAGCCGACAGTTTGAGGTATCCAATGGACAGAGACATTCTTCAAACAGGCTTCTTATTTTGAAGAAGGATCGATTTCATTTACGTAACGCGATGACAATGAGTTTTATAATAGTTTGTTTTTGTATGCTTCCATTTGCCATATGTATAACTGCGCAAAGAGAAGATAATACTTTTATCTCAGTACTGACAATCAAAGGTTTTAAATGTTATATTTATTATTCACCTTAATACAAAAAACGTAAGCAAAAAATCAGATCTAAGAATGTATCAAACAATCTGTATATAACAGGCGGCACATAATACATGGCGGGTTTGTGTATTCGCTCTGTATGTTTCTATAGAATGCTTTATCGAAAACCAAATATGTTGCAGAATAGAGCGAAGCATGCTCTATATTTTGGCGTGGAAACTGTTACTCTATATATGTCTTTGTTTCGAGATAACGGATGATGCAAAACTTCTTGCACAAATGTTGGTATATTTTTCATTGATTAAAACATGTGTGGATAAACTCGAAAGTAGTTGCAAAGAATCGTCATCGAAAGCTCTTTCTAAATGTATATTCAAAAACGTTTTATCATGTCTTGTTATTTAGTAGAGAACGCATCTTTAAACAGATCTAAAATTTAGCCTGTGAAAACAGCTCAGAGTAGTAGATGCAGAAACAATATATCTTTCTGTATTTTTTTAATTTTGTTCAAAGCTATCGATAGCATGGTGCTACTCTTTTACTGATTAGATACATCACTCAATTCGCTACAAACTGAATAGAAAACCATACGGTATTACGCTAGATGATGTGATCGACAAATTAACAAACAACAATGTAATAACTAACACCAAATTTGAGAATAAAAAAGATGATGAGTCAATATAATTTTCGAGATTTGAAGGGCGCCATTGCTGATAAAACTAGTTGAAAAAATGGCTACAAATAGCTCGAGATACTCACTCTATGAGTATATCTGAGCCAATGGCTGTAAATGACGAACTCGAACAGTGAGAAAAACAATACTAACATCAATCTGAAAATGGCTAGACAGCCGAGAATGAGTTCTCTCAATGTTATCTCAAAAATAATTTTATAGTATTTTCCACATGATCTGTTGAGAATTGAGACGGTAGTCTGATGCAGAAAAGATAAACACCGTCTCATGAAATGAACCAAAACAAATTGCAACATACTGTGAAATCCGTACTTTTTTGGTATTCGTTTTCTTTTACAAACTACATTTTAGTGCTGTTTGAGGATGTGTTCCCTATTGAAAGAACCTTTTTTAAACATACAATTAGAAAGAGCTTTTGACGTAGATTTCGTACAATTACTTTACAATTTATCCACATATGCTTTAGTCAATTAAAAATGAACTGACATTTGTGTAAGAACTTTTGCATCACCTGTTATATAGTTATCTAATATGATATGCTCTTGTAAAAAGTATGTGTGTCTCGTTCTTTTATCTAATTTTTTTTCTTAACACACATAAAAAAACCTGAAATCAAATAAACAAGATTAAAAATAAACCTACAAGTGTATGCAAATCATACACGTCTGTTTCTTTGATTGGCAAGCTGACGCCCCAAATGTGTATTACGCACTTTTTTGTAGGAATAAGAGGAACATACGAAATAGAAAAAAAAACGACGAATTAAATAATAATCAATGTTTTCTTTTCTTGTAATAGTAAGATGTAGAAGAGTGAGTGTCTACTAACAACCATCAATCATCGCTGGACGATCTACTCTTATCAATATTATTCTCATTCTACTATCTCCAACTACTCGATATAGTCTCAGATGTAATTCCTCCCTTTTGTATTCTAGTAGGAGAAGGAAACGAGTATACCGTATGCTTGTGCATGCAGACTAACATCAGCTTTTTTTGCATTTTCTTCTCCTTTTCTGTTGCTATGGTCTTATTTCTGTTGCCTCTTTTCTTTTTGCGTCTATTTTGCGTTCTCTCTCTCCTTCGAGTTGTCGGCCACTCTTTCCTCACTGTCTGTAACGATTCTTTTCCAACATTGTCGATGCATAGTTCTGAATCATTCACCATTGGTTAGAAGAGAAAGAGCAAACCAACTCTCAACACTATTATGTGTTCTACTCGTCGTATTTATTGAACTTTCTTTTCATATTTTTACTTAACATGTGTTCTTATTTATTTTCTTTTTTGTTTCTTTTTTTTTTTTAATCATTAGATTTTTTTTCAAAGATATGCACAAGATATTAAAGTCCATGAATCAAAAGTTTTCTTAAATCTGATTAAAAAATGTTCTTCATAAAACAATTTCTATTTGTGCTATTTGCATTATCAAGTAAAACATGTTTTTTACACAATGTCGCGACAACAACAATATCACCAACAATTATATTAAATAGTAATAATAAATCTTCGGTGACAAAAGTAAGTAAAGAAAAACAATGACAAGATTAATCCAGCGACTTTTTTTTATAGATTGTAAATACGAATTCTTCAGTAGATGAAAAAGAAAACGAGAAAATATCGATTTCATCATCTGAAGATATAATTAGTAGTGATACAACAGCTGATGAAATTAAAAATGAAGTATCTGTTAATGAGTTATTAGAAACAGCTAAAGAATCAGTTGTTATTGTTATACCAGAAATTCATCAGGGACCACATTATGAAATTGATTGGAATTTTATTGATAAAGATACAATTCGTGTAACATTTGATCTATTCTCTATTCCAAAATCATTAATTGAAAATAATATATATTCCGAAAAAAATAAACGTAAATTAAATCTACTAGCAACTATGACTACAATGCCTTCAAATTCACTTAAATCAATATTTTCATTAGAATATTTTCTTTTTATCATCCGACCATATAACCAAAATCGAGAAATTATACTTAAAATGGAAAAATTAAATTTAAAAAATACAACATTGAATACATATTCTTATTTTTCAAATTCATTAAGATTAACTTCATTAAATCATAATGAAAAATATAGTATTTGTATCTGTTATTATCAAACGAATAGTTCAACAAAAACTCCAGATTTACTTCTTTGTCAAGATGTTATCAATGATTATGCAAAATTTGCTCATTTGAGAGCAGATCCAACACATGGTCTTTTCTTTATTACAACGCAGTATTCAATTATCATTGGCTTACTCGTCGTTTTACAAAGTATTTTTTCAATACGAAAACGACGTATAACTCAATATATTACTCAACATTTAACAACTACAGCACACAATATTCGTACTACACTTTCATCAGTTAGTCTGGGACGGCAATCATGTTCTTCATTAGATGCGGCAGCTGAACAACAGCAACATTCAACAAAATCTCACACAACTCAACGCGAACCAACGATTGGTGAAGAAAAGAAAATAAAAAAACGGATTATATCATCGCCAGCTATTGTAATTAATCAACTATCTGTGCCCACAAATGATGGTGCTACTAGTTCCGATGAAAC